CCATCAACTGTCCATCCACAGCCCAGACCACAGTTTCCTTCTGGGGATAGGCACCAGTAGTAATGATGGTAATAGTCAGGGCTAAGACAGACAGGCACATACGGCCTAGGTCTATAGGTGTGGGAGATCTGATAAGCAGAGTCCGAGGCGGGAGGGAACCAGTGTTGGTAAAAAGGCAGCGTTGATGGAAAGAGCAGCGTCGAAAAAATAAGGCAGCGTTGGTAAAGGAAACAATGCTGGAACAAGGGGTTATGTTGCTGGAAAGAGTAGTAACAGTACCAGTAGCAGCATTGGTAGAAGGGACAGTATTGGTAAGGGGAGCAATGTTGTTGAAAGCAATGGTGTCGCTGTAAAGCTGAGTTCAATATGGAGGAGGGGGGGAGGCATCCGGAAAAGGCTCCAGCTACGGCACACCCAATCAGCCGCCCGCTTCGCCAAAGCCGGACCAAGCCCCCGTTTGAATTCCCCAACTCTAAACAACGATGATAAATAATCAGCCCAGTCAGAGTCACCATGACATAAAGAAGCCCTGTTGGAAAATAATATTCCAAAGAAATACCTGTTTGGCTGCTGAAGTTGAAATTTTTCTACTTGATACCAGGTCCAGCAGTTCAGCCAAAAGAACAGGAGTGACTGGACTAAACCATAAAGCAAATAAAACAAATTAGAAATGATATAACCTTCTTGATTCAGCGGGCTCATAAAATATTTTGTGTCACGTACACAAAAAGTATTGTTGCTATGGAGTGCTTGCTGCTAGAAAGGGGATGTGGCAGTTCCCAAAAGTAAATTACCAGAAGGCTAATGAATGTGTTTGCCTCATTCCACTTTTTCAACTTCACTTTTCCAGAATTCAACTGCCAATTTATTTCTTTATTCTTTTTTGTCTGATCATTTCTTTATGCAAATTCACCCATTCACCTCCCCCCCAAAAATATCAAGAGTAACCATAAGAAAAGTTGCCTTAAGAAAAGTGGCCTGACAGTTTCATACAAAAGGCCACAGTTAATCCTGGAAATCTATGACCATAGAAAGTCTCAGAAATACAAGTTCAGATTCAAAGTACTTTGCTTATATTACATATTAAGCTTTTATCAAACATGTCATAATCCAGCTTTCATCCTGCATTTAACAAGTCAGCATTGACAATAGGTTTGGTGGTATATCTCATTTGAAACAATGCACTGATAATTGATACCTGCATTCTAATATACTGTTAAGTGCATATGGATAGCTGTTCGTAAAACAATATTCTCAGATGTTCAAGTTATAACTCTCATGTTGGCAAGCAGCCATGCTAGCTGCAGATATTGGAAAATGAGCTCTTCTTATCTGAAAAGCACCAAATTGAGATCAGGCTCTTATGGATATTCCTTATTTTACATTTTGTTCCTTTCTTTTCTTCCTACCTTGATAATGGGAAATTTTACTTCACTAGGGGTGAATCTTCTCTTCCTTAGCAACTGTTTAGGATAAGTCTACTCTAACAAAACAAATATTCAGATGAAAAACTGAATCCTGCAGATTGCTGTGATAGCCCATTCATCGAATCCTTTATTTATATGCCCGTATGTCATCAGAAGATGCTATTCATTTGAAAAAGTAATTATTGGCATAGAAGATCTGTTTGACCAAAATGAAAATCTAAAACCTCACCTTTCTTTTACAGTAATATTATATAATTTTAGGTAACTGAGGAAATTATTTATAACCCAGCCAATCACTTTTTTGGGATTCATTTCTGTCGCATTCACAACGCTTTCAAAAAAATCCATTAAGCCATCTTCATTCTGTTAAGAAAGAAAATATATTTAAACATAACAACCAAATCAACTTTCCCATGAACAAACCATATCTTCAGATTTGAACTCATCTGTTGTGTGATACACTCAATCTTTTGACTGTTTCATAATTGCCAGCAGTTCAAGAAACTATATACTAACTAGTTCCAAAAAAGTCATGGCATGAATCTTCGATGAAGCTGTTTGATTTAGAAAAGATCAGATTCTTGGCCAATCATGCTGATGTTATCTAGATAATAATATCATTAATTCACTTCTAAATGGAGATGATTAACACAGGTATGGAATTGATTACAATTCTATGGCTTCCATGATGCAGATTTCTACAAGTAGCTGACTAAAATGTAGAAACAGGGAAGTACAAGAGCAGCTAATCAATCAATATTGTTTCATGCCCATAGAAATTTCCTTTCTCTGAAAAATGTACAGTAAGTTCTGGTACATTCTGAGGGAAAGAGCCACAAGAAAAGCTATATGGGTACTGTATCAAGATCTCCACATCCTCCAAACATGGGAAAAGTAACACGAGGACATCATTTAATTGGCACAGGATAGAGATGTACAGCTAAATATCATCAGCATAGTAATGATATTTACCTCCCTGACACCATGTAGATATTAACAGGAGGGAGTGGAATTTAGGACCTGAGAAACCCCACAATGGTATTGCTCTGAAACAGCTTCAGAAGTTTGCAGTGGGGGCTGGGAGGAAATCAATATTGAAAAAGTTCTTATTTGTTTCAGTTCCAGTTACAATTGGGAGTAGGACTGATCTAATACCAAATCCCTACTTTGGTGTGGACACATAATATTTTGCCTATCTACTCTGGTCCCTTAATTCCCTGGACAAATATATATACACACACATTCCCTCTGTCTCATATCTTCCTTCCTTCCTTCCTTCCTTCCTTCCTTCCTTCCTTCCTTCCTTCCT